TAGTTAAGGTAGTCATATTGCAAGTGGGACCAGTGCCTGTCAATTTTGTTTTTGAATTCATTTATCGTTTTTGATATGACAATTTCTTCGGGCAGGGGCAATAAAAATAACAAAAACAAAAATAATTGTTACAATGCATTTAATAGGGGTCAAATCTCGTGTATGTGAAATGCATAGAGGTACATTATGTATACAACTCTATGATGAAATGTCACTGACGTAATTTTTCTACACATCAACTGTCTACAGTAGATCGTAATGGTACAGTTGATTAATTAAAAAAAAAAGCTGAAATTTTGTCTTTTATACCAAAACGTCAAAAAATCACCAAATCACCAAATCATTTTTTTGTCACCAATGCTTTCCAAAAATCACCAAATTTTCACAATTTGGTGACGGAAATCACCAAATGGCAACGCTGCTGCTCAGCAAGCTGGGGCCGGATTCATCAACGTTGCGTAAAGTCTATTGCGTACACGGAGTTTCTACGAAGTACGTACGCAAAGCTCGTAGGTGCGATTCATCAACGCAGCGTAGCACCTGCGTACGCAAATGTTGATGAATTCCAGTGTAAACCCACTACGCCGTCCTAGACGATCTGCAGCCCGGATATCCGCGCGAAGCGCGAACAGCGCCTTTTTATCGAATTCGCTGCTCTCTATTTAGAACAATTTCCACGGTTCTGTCAAATCGGCCTATAATCGGTCAATTGAGGAGTTGTGGCGCTTGCAGAAGCCTTTCGACTATGCACGTAGGGCGAGAATAAATCCAAATGCTCGTAAATGCTACCTTGCTGGTTGGCGATTTAGGTTTTCCTCTAGAAAAGCGATTTTCAATTTATTGAATTACACGCCCTGAACTTATTCTCGTACATATGGCGTCCCATAGATGGCGCGACGAGGCTCTCTTCGAGGGATTTTCCAGAGAATTTTCCACACAAGGAAGGGCGATTCGGCTTAGACTGCTCCGCGTGTGGAGAGTTCCACACGCTGCACTAACTATAACTTTAGTGTAGCGCAGTCTAGCTGGAATCGTGACGTGGGATTGTAATTATCGTAGCCATCTTGGTTTCCGTCACGTTGATTGGCTAAGCCCGTTGATTGATGTTTGTTTAGACTGAGAATTCCCACTAGACGTTCTCTGGCAAAACAAACCCGCCGCCGTGGCGGCAGCCGCAGCAGCAGCCGTATGTGCTGCCACAGCAGAATCAGTGCGGGCGTCTGAAGGTCTACGAATGTTAAGAATTAACTGCGCAAAACCTTTCTGCATTTAACGTTGCGCAAAACTTTTTCAATATCCGTAGGTGAAACAGAGTAGGCCTAGCCTATACGGCTATAGTATAGAAACATTAAGAATTTTGTACTAAGTAAATACATTTACGGACTGTTGGATGAGTTTTTCTTTTGA